CCCCCCTCCCCGCTCCGATCCTCCAGCGCTGACTGACGGAACGGACGGGGGAGGGGGCGGGTACAGCTGGCTCTGCCTCTAGATAGGCAGAGCCAGCTGTCACTCACGCAGCTGGGCGGATCCAGACATAATTGTCGGATCCGCTTCAGCTGCGGCTTCTCAGTACATAGGGAGCTGTAGCTCTATATACTGAGCCTAGGGTGACGGGAGGACACTAGTTTGTGTCCTCCCGTTACCCTAAGGAGAACTATGGGGAAAAGCCTTAACCCCATAGTTCTCCTTTAAAGCAAATATACCGGTGCCCCACTCCATGCCATCCATCCCACGTGCATCCATTTACAATGTTTTTAAAAAAAATCCCTCTAACAAGGTCTTCTATTGGCCTGAGTTCACCATCATGTGGCCAACCACACTGCGTGTCCCAGGAGTAAACATTGGTGATCCACTACTGCTTTTAAGGTCTGATACTGGCTGGTCTGTCACCACCCCATGTCCTGCTATCACCAAGGCACTGCTGGAGTCTTTAAGACCTGTGGGGATTTGCCCACACAAACAGGGTTATTCACAAAGGGGTGAAGAGTTTGGAGGAGGGAGGAGAAGTGAACAATCTAGGACAACATCGCTGAACTGGAAAGTGAGCTGAATTGGAGAATTTTCCCAAATCAGCTATGTTGTCCTAGATTGTTCACTTCTCCGGCCTTCTCCAAACTCTTCACCCTTCAGTGAATAACCCTGAAAGAGTCCATGTCACTGGATAGTAACATAGACATCTGAAGAAGAACCATCTCCACACAGAAAAACTATGGACTTTGTGTATCACATGACCACAGATTTAGGTAAGTATTTTTGGCATTATGATTTGCTTTTTTTTAGCTGCAGCAGTTAGAGGATTGATTGGGTGAATCCGCTGGATCGTTACTGGATCCCATGTTATGTGCATATCAAAGGAATCGCTTTTAATCTGCTTATAAGCAGTACAACAAATAAATACAATATTATAAATGTACATATAATAAATACAAAGAGAGAGAGGGAGAGAGAGAGAGGGGGAGAGAGAGAGAGGGAGAGAGAGAAGGGGAGAAAGAGAGAGAGAGAAAGGGAGAAAGAGAGAGAGGGGGGGAGAAAGAGAGAGGGGAAGAAAGAGAGAGAGAGAAGGGGGAAAGAGAGAGAGAGGGGAGAGAGAGAGAGAGAGCAGGGGGAAAGAGAGAGAGAGGGGAGAGAGAGAGAGAGCG